TCTGAATCTGAATCTGAATAACTACAGAGGCCTGTATAAGCACCATAGACTGAATGCCCTGCAAACACTGGTAGCCGATATGAAATCCATGCTCTTTCCAAAATAACCTAAAGATATCTAATCCAAAAGTACATACAGTACTATTGTATATGTGATTCATCAACACATTTAGTCAGTAAAAAGAAAAATCTATCAGCTGCAGAGAAATTGTTCTATGCACATCAACGAGTAATTATAACAAGCTGCTGGACTATATTTACCATCCTAACACCTCTGTCCAACCTAAATGACACTACCTGGCACCTGCAAGATATACACTAACAGTAAACTGTCATAAAATGGCACAGCATTGGTGTTCAACCTGTTGCACTGCTAATGAAACCAGCAGTCTTTCAACATCAGCACACGGTAGCAGAGCAAAGTTGTTTTCCCTTAAACCGGGTGCTTGTTCTTTGCCTTGTTCTTTACAGACACAGGAAGAAATCTCAAAGCGCTCACAGGGGTGTAAGTTACTAAACTGAAGTCTTGCTTACACGATACAACACATGGGTCTGTCGATGACACCCTGTGGCAGTGGGTCAGGGCACAGGGACAACGCCTATGCTTACATGTTTTGGGGCATTTAAGCTAAAACAAATACATAAAATGCCAGCTTTTTTGATATATGTATATATTGTAAATTAAAGTATTTTTTTTAGGCATTCAATGATGTAGCTGATCTGATCTGATTATACTTTTTTATACCTTTATAGGTCAAAGATGCCAATATTCATCTTTCTCTGTGCATGCGATATGCACGACAAATCTGTACGGGAAAGCAAATTTGGCAAGACCAACGGCAAAGCTACTTTGAGAGAAGGGAATTCAGCTTGGATAGGTAATAGTCTCAATGCCCCTTTCATGAACTTGCAAACTAGGGTATGAACCTTGGCAGTTTTCTTTTCAGGTTTTTTACATCAAAACCCACAGTACCCTCAGTTTGCACATGAGCTGGTTCCTTCTCAACAACAGGGCCCATGGGCAACCAAAGAGGAATTGCTTCACTTCCACCATTCAATTCAAAATAAAAATAACAGCCATATGATTCTGCCTCACTCTGGACAGCGTTGGGGAATTCCAGGCTATTGGAGAAAACACATCTAGCAGACCATGAGGCCACTCTTGTGCAAATGCATCCACTCCCAGTGGATTGTGTAGAGAGGGAGACAGCGGACATTGTGCGTTCAACCTTCAGATTGAATAATGTAAACCAATTGCCTTGGTGCAAGAATACTTTGAATAGAGGCCCTCTAGACTTGGATGCCCTTTTGTGTACTAAGGTTGATATTTTCTCTTCTTGATTTCTCTTGCACTCTGAGAGTGATGAGACCACTGGACACTGGCGAACTGAAGCATAGATTTTGGCTATTGCTCTCAAAACCCACTCCTTGGCATACAGCTTTAAATATTCCAGATGTAAAGATAGAGGAGAGTGAAGCTCTGTCACTCCCCCACAATCTTTGCTCCCCCCCTAGTATGTATTTGGCTGTATAATCCTGCCCTGTTGCAGCCAACTGTGGTTAGCCAAGTTGGCTGAAATGCTCAAACTGAGCTCCTGAAAAATTTCTTCCATGACACACTGGAGAACTGAACAGACACAGCCAGAGAACAGGGAAGAGCTGGCACCTTCTCTAGCAGTGGAGTCTACTGCTAAGATGACTTCTTTTCCAACTTGCCAGCTGACTATAGGGGAAAGGGATGAATAGCTAGCCTGGATGGCAATGAGGTTGACAGGGTTTTTAGGCCAGGTGGCTTTCCTCAAAAGTGCACCTCAACAGGCACTTGGGCCTTAGTGTGTTCGGGGATGCAAAAGGAGGGATTGGGGAAAAAGTCTGCACTGTGTTTTCTGTGGAAGGCAGAGCTGTTAAGATTCATCCGTCTTCGTTTTGGCTTTGCAACACTGGAATGTCCAAAATATCCTCTTTCCTAGGCCTACTACATACTTGTCATCAAGAAACTGACTGCTTAGGAAATTCAGAGTCTCTCTGAGGGTCTGGTCGGGTATGGGAACTACTCTGCTTAAAACATTAGGGCCCCACAGACACTCCCCACCTTGCAGGACTTACACAGCACAGTATTATAATAAAAGTAGTATAAAAGTATAAGTATCATCTCAAGGTAGCCCATACAATTGACAATTGCATAAATGTTACTTGACAATTCCTTTTTTTTTTTTTATTGGTTATACAGTATATCTGTATGGCTGTAGGCTACAGGCAACACATGTAAGCACAGATTTAATGTTCCCCCTTCCAAATAATTGTACCACCGGGTCCATACCACCACATTTCACTGCACATATTGAATATATGGGCATGTGACAAATCAATCTTTGAATCTTGAATCATCTTTATCCAACAAGTTGTTCAGGTTGAGCCATCTCGCCCTCTCTTGCAGCACCAACATGACTGCACTTCCCTGTTGCCTGGACAGTGCAGCACAATATCCAAATATCCATAATCCTGGTTATCTCGTCCTGCAGAGAAGTCTCGGGTACATTGGCCAGGTCATCAAAAAGCTCCACTTGGTAAGCTGTTAACATGGAGGTGAAGTTAAGAACTCTCAAAGGCAAGGCTGCCGCCTTATAAGCTCTTTCCGTCATGGTGAAGGTGGACTGCCACCAGGGGTTCCATGAGTGGCAGGGGGGCCATAGACTGCTTATCCATCCTTTCAGAACTCATGGAAGACATCCCTTGAATAGGGGTTTTGCTGGAATATGAGTTATCTTTGCAAGAGACCTTAACTTCTTCCAGGAACTTGGAAAGTTGTCCCATATCCCCCTTAGCTTAGGGCTATTTCTTTGCCTCAGCCTCTGCCATGATGGAGAACCATGTAATTTTCAGCTTTTCTGTAGCGCACTGGCACAAGTTCATGTCCACGCTGGGTCAAGGTTAGGCGAGTATAAATTATGTGTTTATCGGGGCTTGAGTGTCATTGAGTGTCTATAAACATACATTTAAATATACAAACCTTGCACTATCATATGTGATACACAGTTTTACCTACTAATTGCACTGGCCATAATCTTAATTTTGTCATCAAAGTGGGCTGATCTAATGAAGAGTCATGTCTTCTCAAATTGTTTAACCAAAATGTATCAGATGGATGAATAGCTGCAGGCAATTACTTCTAGTTCACAACCCAGAAGTCAATTAGACATTACAATCTCTCTGTGATGACCGTGGTAAATGGATGATGGCTCATGTTCCACAGACTGGGATAATTAAACTACAAGTCATACACTAGAA